GCAGGAGCAGGGGTCAGGGCTGGGGGGAGTACGGGTCAGGGCAGGGGTCGGGGCAGGGGTCAGAGCCGGCGGGAGCAGGGGGCAGGGCAGGGGGGGCAGGCTGGCACCCTGGGCCCTGCCACCTCCAGCAGAAGCCCATGGGCGCTGTGGGGCCCCGGCCTTGGGCTCCCAGCACCAGCCCCCCATGGGCCCAGGCCTGACCCCTCTGGGCAGCTCTGGGAGCCCTGGCTCGGCCTGGCGCCTTATTCCCATGCCCAGCCGCAGGAGGGCGCCCAGGAGCGCAGACGCCTGCCGCGGGCGGGAGGAGGCACCTCGTTCCCCCCGGCCGTGTCTCTACCCCTTTAAAGGGCGGGGCGCGTTGTGGGGAGGTTTGTCCGTTCCCGGCCGCCGTTCTCCTCTCTCCCTCCCTCCCCTCCCCCGTCCCCGTCCGCCATATTGTGGCCGCCGCAGCTCGAGCCGGAGCCTGGTGACGAGCCGCCGGAGCCGGAGATGGGTGAGGAGGCCGCTGCGGTCCCGCTGCGCCCTGTGGGGGGCGGGCCCCACAGGGGGAGGCTCCAGCCCGGCGGGTCCGGCCGCCCCTGCCCGCTCCGGGGCCCGCTCGCCGGGCTCTGACACCGAGCCCATCACCCTGGTATCCGAGCGCCGGGTCTCTGCGCCGGGCGCCGGGCCCCGGGGGTGGGGTGGGGTTAGCCGCCCCCCTCCCCCCGAGTGTGTCTGGGGTTAGCCGGCCCCTGGGTGCCCTGCCCCCCCCCCAGCCCCCTGGGCGTGTCTGGCTCTAGGGGGCGGGGTCTGTCCCTTGCCCGCCCCGTGCCCCCACTCCGTCTCCCCGGCCCCCCGCTCTCGGGCAGCCTTTCCTGCGCTGGGGGTGGCGAGCGGGGCCTGGCGTTGCGGGGCGGCCGGTGTTTCTGACTCCCCGCTGGGGTGACTGGTCGTGCCTCCGTGGGGCCTGAGTCTTTGATGGGGGGGTGATGGCGATGCTAGAGGGTGACTCCGGGGCCGGTCTGGGTGGCAGCGCCCTCCCGTCTCTCTAGAGACGCTTCTGCTTATTCATTCTGAGCGCAGGTTGCTTGGCACTCCCCCCCCCCCACAATATCTCCCTCTTCTGTCTTTTGGTGAAAGCTGCCCCCCCCCCATCATGGTGAAGCAGCATCCTGCGGGCATGAGGACATGCATGCTGATGGGGTGTAGTTAGGGCCCTTGGATGCAATTTAAGGGGTTGTGCAGGTTTTTGGGAGACCCTGAGAAGCAATAAAACGTTGCTGCAGCCTGCTCTATGGGGGGATGCACAAAACCCCCTTAACCTTTTGCATAATAGGGGGTTTGTCCCAGTGTCCTAGCCAAAATTTCCCCGCCTTTCACTTTTGTTTTAATTAGTTTGTTGGCTGACCTCTCCCACCCCAGAAGTGGTAGCATTTCAGAGGTACTGCCCTTTTCATCTAGAAAGGAAGGTGCTATATTGTGTTTCCAATGTTGCATGGTAAAGAGTATTTGGTTGGGCTTTATCAGCAATACTCGGAAGAGAGTAATGACAACCACAGTCATTTTGTTGTTCCCCAAAAATCATTGCAGCAATGGGATAGTTTGCCAACCCTGGGCCTGTTCACCTGGCTGTAAGGCTGGTATGCCAGCCATAAAATGCACAGGGTGGGGAGGAATCACTTTATCTCTTGACTTATAAAATGTGCTTACCTAACCAGCTCTTTGGAGCTGGGCATTGTCTATCTGCGTGTCTGGGAAGCACCTAGCACACTGGCCTCTGTCTAAATAATACTCAGGGCGTATGTATGAAGATTAAAACATAAGCTACTCACTATCTGCTACTTTCTGCAAAATGCTGCTAACCAATCCCTTCCCCTCTCTCATTGAATAGATGAGCCTCATACACTTCCTGAAGGTCAGGGGACCAATTCTTCCTGACCCAAGGCACCCTAGCTCTGTGTGTGTTTTTACCAAAGTCCAGTTCTGAGGCAAAACTTTCACTGTGTATATGGGGAATCAATCAGTCTAGGACTGTTTCCTAGTGACTTAGTAGGGGAGATATCCTGAGGTAGCCAGGAATGAGACTTAAAAATGCTTCTCTGTTCTGCAGATCTATTTAATCCTTTTGAGAGAAGCTTGCTGCTGAGTAGGGGCTTGTATAGCTCTGCACAGATGTTCAGCTTGTTGGTGCCCTGTCCTTGGTTTCAAGCTAACTAGCAACAGCTGTTTGAATGTGAGCGTTGCTTACAGGTTTCTAGCGTTGTTCTCTGAGCAGTATGAAGAGGAATTACTTTTCTGAGAACTTAACTATATAGCTGACCTCTCCTGCCTCTCGGTACTGGTTATATAGTACTGTTATATTATTGTTCTTGGGTTGGGGCAGGGGAAGCCCGGTTCTGCCTTCAAGGAAACTATGCCAGAAACCTTCCAGCAGCAACAATGTTCAAATGCAGCTGTTGCTAGCAAATCTTCATCCACAGTATGAATATGGTCTAGTGTCAGGTCTCTCATTAATCAACGTGTATCTAGGGATCTTAGACTGCTTTACATTTTAAGCTTCATAGAAGGTGAAGATTAGATTAGCAGAGGATTGTACAGAATGGACTGCCGTGGTTGCAAACCTCTGGTAATGGAGATGCCACATAAGAAGCTGATGACTGGAGAAAACTGAGCTGTTCCTAGGGGCCTGTTTCCCTTGCTGTGTTAAGGAATTAAAGTTTTGCAGGATAATGCTGCAGTCATGTTAAACATATCTAGGTCTTCCATGGGTAGCCAAGATCAAACTGTTGTAACACCACTCTGTTAAAATGGTTAAGACTGTGTTTTAAACACCTGAATAGAGTGCTGCTCTGATTCTGACTTAGGTTAAAATAAAATCCTATTTAACTATAACTACTCTATTTGTAATATGTAGTCCGCGGTGGTGGTAGACGAGTACAGTGACTTACTCAGTTCTATAGGCATCAGCACTTCCATATCTTTGCTTTAGGGAACTGTAGTCCTAGAGTTAAAGTGCTGGTTGTGGACTTCACAGAAACTTGATTTGACTCTTCTGTCTACAGCAGAATAGGCTGTCTTCTGGCGTTGTGTAGAGAATGAGAGAACTCTCCTAGATGGGCTATTGTCTAGTCCTAAGCTGTATTATGGTTTATAGCAAACTGACATCTACAAACAAATGGCAACTGAACGTTGCCTTTCAAAGACTACTTTAGTAGCATCGTGAGAAGCTCTGATCTTCTCTCATTGGGCCTGAAATGAAGACTTCCTACCCAGAAAAATGTGAGACTGTTTTCTTGCATCTGAAGAAGTGAGCTGTAGCCCACGAAAGCTTATGCTCTAATAAATTTGTTAGTCTCTAAGGTGCCACAAGTACTCCTGTTCTTTCTGTTTTCTTGGGTTTTAACTAGCAGGGCATGATTTGAATTGGAGAGCGGGGAAGAAAGGACAAACTATACAACAGACTAAAGATTCTTTTGTAAAAGCAAGGACTAGCGTCTTGTTGGAGTTGAGTGCTGATATTGTCTAGTAAGCCAGCTCTAGTTCAATGTCCTTCATGATAGGATACAATTAGCACACCATGACCTTGCCACAAGCTTTTACTCCACCTCCAAATACCTCTTCTGTGGCCCACCACAAAAATACTACTTACGGTGGCCACAAGTCTGGGGAAGGTGATGGTTAAAGATGTTCTAGACTGTGCAATTCTATAAGGACTCATGATAGAGCTTGGAATGTAAAATCCTGACCAGAGAATTAGATATTGGATTTAAAAAAAATCACAGTAGACAAGTGTCCAATAGCCTGAACAATTAATTTTAAAAAAATATATTTTCTCCTCAATCTAAAATTAATGGTTTAATCCATAGATCACTTTCCCTTCCCCTTAATGTCTCTTACTAGCTTATTTTAAAGAGACATACAGTTTTGTGACAATTATTTAATTCAAAAAAGACCATTTATTAAAATCCTACACTGATAGAATGTTAAGGTAGCATGGCATGCTGGGATTGGACAGTGTGGGCTGGATCACTCGATAATTTCCCTGCTCTGTTCTTCCCTCTGAAGCCTTTGGCACTGGCTGATCGGAAGATAAGATGGGCCACTGATCTGACCCAGGATGGCTGTTCATATGTTCTTAAGTGTTCAAAAGTCAGAAACTGCCAAAGTTGAGGTGGTGCAGATGGTGTTAACTCTGCCTCTTTATGTATCTATAACACTAGGCCAATGATTTGGCCATGTATGTTTGTCAAATACAATATTACTCTACTACTCTTATATGTGCGGTGTTAGAGAAGAGCTCAGAAGCAAGTGTTCGTTCGTTCACTATGCAACTTGGGCACATAAATGATGTTATTGGACTGTTTATCTAGCATACCAGGTAGCACTAAGACAGTACTGTTTGGGTCCCAAAGTTGGCAAGTTTAAGTAGTTAGGTGGCTGCTTTGGCTTGATTGTACATATTGGTCTGGATGCAGTGAGCATGTATTTAGTATTGGGATAATTGAATGTGCGTTAAAATGGTTAGTGTAATAAAGGTAGGGGAATTGGTATCCCCATTACCTACAGTTAAAAATTAGTGGTTTTGGTTTTTTAATTTCTATACAGTACAAGTAAGCTTCACATGCACCTAATCTCTTATTGGGGGAAAAAAATATACAATACTATCTGACTCTTAAAGAGCACGTTAGCAAAGATGGGCATGCCGGGATTTTATATACCTCATTGCCTTGAAACTCATCTTGCAAGAAGGCTATCTGGAATGGTGCAATTGTCATGAGTATTTCAAACACTGAGTTTAACTGTTTGACTTAGTTAAATGCCTAATCCTCTTGTTTAAGCACTTGCTATAAAGGCCTAGCTGACTTTAGCTGTGACAATATTACACATTGTAGATTTTCAACTCCGTCTCTGCTGGGGAACTGCCCATAACATACAAGGAGAACTGCACTTACTCAGGTGAGAAGGCTGCTGAAAACTTCAGAATCTTGTTTGGGGGTGGCTTGCAAGCAGAACTGAAGCTGGAAAGTGTTTTTGGCAGTCAGCTGAGGAATGGATGGCTACCTTTACATGGAGGTATGGGGAGAATAAATGCAATCTTAACAGGATTGACTTTAGTGAAAAACCAATATAACAAGTGACTGCTGATTCCCTAGAAGAAAATCTTTACTTTTCCCTTTCTAAGCAGCCAGCTCCATGAGTAGACTGGCTGCATGTTCCAGTAATGATGTCACATCACTAGCTCTTGGTAGCTAAAACAGAAGGGAATGAGCCAATGGTGACTGATGCACCAGACAGCCAAAAGAACTGCGTGGATAAGCGTTTTACTAGCACAGAATGTACTGTGTGCAAAGCACACAGCTATGGGATCTAAGGCAGGCTATGTTAAGACAGTTCTCAGCGTTCACTGTATTTGGTTTTATTTGTGTTAAACATTCAGGAACATGTTTGTTCAATTAAAATACCTACCTTGAGAAAATGTAAAGGTTGGAGAGTCAAACATTTAACACAGAAAAT